TTATTTCGGAACCCCCTTCCCCTCCCCCTTTTCTGATGAAGGGTCTCGGCCCGAAACGTCAGCCTCTCTGCTCCTGTGATGCTGCTTGGCCTGCTGTGTTCGTCCAGCCCTGCACCTTGTTGTCTCGGATTCTCCAGCATCTGCAGTTCCTACTATCTCTAACTAATTCTAGTGGTTCCTTATGCCCCTCTGAAGCACTTCCTCATTTGTCTGTTTAAAGCACTACATAAGTGCGCGTCAGTTATTTTCAGTTTTTAATGGTGATTTTGAGAAATGATCCTTGGAGAAGGATCTTTGTTAAATCCCAGTTATAGCAAAAAAAAAGGAAATTTTAAAATAATGAGCATAAGCATTTTTGTGCATTTGTTACTGAACTGGAAAACAAGACAGCATGTTTTTTTAACATGTATGCTTTTCTTTCTTTGTACTGATGGTAACCCTGCTGAAAATGTCAAACTTTATTATGGAAATACCAATGTATAGTACAGAATGGGGTAGGAGCAAATTACTGCACCAGCCATGAAAATAGAAAATGTTGGAGATCACAGCGGGTCAGGCAGCCTCCATGGAGAGAAAGCAAGCTAATGTTTCAAGTCTGGATGACTCTTATCAGAGCTGAAGTGAAGCGCAGAGAGGGCAGCATTTATGCAATAGTTTGGGCAGGGTATTGGAGTGCTGGGGGAGTAAGTACTTTGATAGTTCAGATTAAGTGATTGGAATGTGCGAATAGCAGAACAATGGTGTGTCTAACTGCCAGACTGGAAAGATCAGTCCCACTGGGTGCGGGGAGGGGAGAGGGGGATACAGAGAATGTAACAAGCAAAACTAAAAGAAAGGGAAGGAATGGGTTCATAATTTGAAGGTGTCGAACCCAGTATTGAGGCCAGAAGGTTGTAAACTGCCTAGTTTGAAGATGAGATGTTGCTCCTCCAGTTTGCACTGTGCTTTGCTGGAACATTGCAGCATACCGAGGACAGACAAGTGGGCAGACGATTAGGACGCTGTATTAAAATAACTGGCTATGGGAAGGTCAGGGTCAGGCTTGCACACACAATGGAGGTGTTCTGCAACGTGGTCATCCAGTCTGTGTTTGATTTCTCCAATGTAGAGTAGGCCACACCAGGTGCAGCGAATATAATACACAAGATTAGAGGTACAGATGAAATGCTGCTTCACCTGCAAAGACTGTTTAGGCCCTTGGATGGTGAGCAGGGTGGAGGTTAAGGGGCAGGTGTTGCATATTCTGCAGTTACATGGAAAGGTGCCATGGCAAGAGGGGTGGTGGTGTTGGTGGTCAAGGAGTGGACTAGGGTGTCCCAGAGGGAATGATCCCTGTGAAATGCAGACAGGGGAATGAGGGGGAAGATGTGTTTGGTGGTGGCATTCTGCTGGAGTTCTCTGAACTGGTAGAGAATTGATCTTTTGAATGCAGAGGCTAGTGGGACGAAAAGTGAAAACAAGGGGGACCCGATCACGCTGTTGAAGTGTAACGGGAAGGATCAAGGGCAGAAATGTAGGTAATAGATCGTATGCAGTTGAGAAGCCTGTCAACCACAGAGGGTGGGGAACCATAATTACAGAATAAGGAAGCCATGTTTGCAGGACTGTTTTGGAAGGTGGTGTAGTCTGAATAGATACGATATAGGCAAAGCAACTGGGAGAATGGGATGGGAAGAACTGTAGTGAAGGTAACTATGGGAGTCAGTGGCTTTGTAATGGATGGCAGTGAACAGTCTATTCGCCGAAATGGAGACGGAAAGAAGGGAAGTGTCGGAAATGGAGATGTGCAAGTCGGAGAGGGGTAGTAATTGGAAGCAAATTGAACAAATTTTCTCAAGGTCCAGGTGGGAGCATGAAGCAGCACTCCAACAGTCAATTTTCTGAAAAGTGTGTGTTGTGGGCAGGGGGTAGTGTAGGACTAAAACAAGGCATAAGTAGGACCCATGCAGGTGCCCATAGCCACTCCTTTTGATTTGGTAGAAATGAGATGAATTTCTCCTTGTAAAAACTTGTTTTCTCTCTATGGATACTGCCTGACCTGCTGCGATCTCCAGCACTTGTTTTCACAATACAGAAAAAGGTGTTCAACTCCATAATCAATATGCACACGTGTCCTGGATGGAGAATATGTCAGGTTTCCCATGTCTCATTTCTAAGAATGTTGACTTGCCCAATCTCTGAAGTCACTTCAGAATCACTCTAGAAGTCACACAATAATTATTTCAAAAACATCTGATTAAGATCATTCAATGATTCCAGAAAGACAGTAAATTTCCACACTGAAGTGGGACAGATGTTCAAGTAAATAGGCAGGTAAAGTAAGTTTAGTGTCCAAGGTGTTTCCCAGTAACATTAGTGAATTTGGCTAAAATTGAGTCGCTGCAAATGTCAGCTAATTTCAGCCAAACCAGTGCCACGGTGTAATTTGTAACTGAGGTCAAGGTGAACTTTCCCTTCATTTACCAGTCTTCAAACCTTCCCTACTAAATCAACGAGCAGATTATCTTTAACAGAAACAACTCTCATGGACAGAAAATAAAACATGATTCAGGAGAACCAAATGAAAAATAAGGAACGTTACATTTGGTTCCTGATAATTTATCTTCCTTTTTTAATATAAAAGACTACAATGAAAGTAAGACCAAATGGAATGTGTTCTGGAAGAACTGTAATGGAATAATTGGCTAGTTTATTACTCAGTTTCTACTTGTTTCCCGGTTACTGAAGTGATTGTGTCATCAAATTTTCTGTGGCCATCCTGCTTATTGAGGATTGCAGATTTAATCACAACAACAATTTGACTAAAACAATTGTTGTCAAATGTCTCAAACACTCCTACTTTGAATGCAGTGCAGAAAAAAAATGTTACTTTATGTAAGCACTCAGACCAGAAAATCGAAAAAAAGAGATGTTGAGATTTATTTTACATTAACAGTCCTGTGGTTAGCACAAATAAAATCACTGCATTTTCATATTCTGAATTTTGAAAGTTATATTAAAAGGTACTTAAATCTTGTAGTAAGGAGAAACCATTATATTTAAGTGATTTTTAAAAATATTCACGTCCAATATTTAACAAGACAACTTTTCCAGATTTTGATACCATCCAAACCAAACTGGTTCTAACCAAATATGCTGTAGTTAAATGTTCAAAAACTTTTCTTCTTCTTCTGGAGGCAAGGTTCAGTACGCTCATGAAAAAGTTAATTACACCCCACACTGTGGAGAAACAGGATAAGAATATTCTTCTGTTTTCACTTCATTATCGTGCCTGGTTTTTCTTTTTCTGTCTAGCCCTTTTGCCAGGGCGCTTCTGCAAATTAAAGAAGACACATTATAAACCAATTCAAATTTTGAGAGCGAGTGTTATTCTTCTCTTCCCTCCCAAAAAGAAAATTACATAGTTTTTTAAATTGGAAGAAACAAACTACCCTAAGTTAGAAGTGTCAAGGGAAGAGGACATATATACGAATAAGGAACGAAGGGTGGCCACTTGACCCTTCGAGCCTGCTCTGCCATCCAATAAGATCACGGCTGATTCGATTTTAACTTCAATGCTATATTCCAGCATATTCCTGATAATCTTTCACGTCCTTGGCAATCAAGAATCTATTGACCTCTACCTTAACAATTTCAAGACTGAATCCATTGCCTTTTGGAGGAAGGACATTCCAAAGACTCTCAACTGTCACAGAAAAAGCGTATTGCAAGTGTAGCTTTACTAAAGATTTTCTTTTCTTCAGACTGTTCTGCTCCCCCACTAAAGGTAGTAATTTGGGCTTCAGTTTAACACAATACTGTTTACCATTTTAAAATGTTTCTTGGTTTTAAAAACATGCCAAAATATAAATTACTGCAGCACTGGAACAAAACACCATAGGAAAGGTTTGGTTGCAAAAAGAATTGTCTTGCCAACATTACGTAAATGATCATCAGCAGAGCTAAAATTGGTTAGTGCTTTCCTCATTAGATGTAATTAAAACTATCTGAGCCTAGAATTCAAATGAATGGTTCAATTTACTACCCTAAACAAAATAAACCCCATCAATAAAAACTGTGTTCCATTTAAAATCTGCTGCATTTAACTTGATTTCCAACTGGATAGGCATTGGAAGAAGTTGCTCAGGAAGCATTAATACCTGATAACAGCAGGAAGACTGCAATATTAGTGCTTGTTACTAGATGTTAGAATGGTTTTTAAATAATAGATGAAAGATTCCCCACAACACTGACAATACACAGGGTTTGCATGCAAATCCACACCCGCAACCCTCTGGAAAATTATTTACAATTGCAAAACAAAAGATTATTATTTATTTTGTGTTATGGCTGTAGATGTTCAGGAGTTACAAAATGAGAAAAATGCAGTGGTTATTCTTGCAATGAACAATGTGTCAGTTATTAAACTTAAATCCGAGGCCATGATCTAGGATGCAGCAAAAATGGCAATAACTACATGGTTAAAATTTTCCAGCTTTGTAAACTGTGGTGAAAATGTATTAGTTGTGACCTCAATCTGGAAGATGGGTTTAGGATGATGGTTTTGTATGTAGAAATGTTTGTCAATTACTTTGGCAACCTCTGTTCTTAACTTATACCTGTGGTCCACTGCCAGTTTAAATACTGTAATGTCTGGGAAATCATTGCTTTGGTGTTATGGCTTTAAAGTTAATGGATGGTTGATAATACTGATGAACGTTTCCATCGCTGCTTCTGAGAGTGTCCAAATACCCCATACATAGAAACAGACATAAAAGCTATTGTTGCTATGTGGCTCCACACTTAGTACAAATTGCTATGAATAAGATTTTTTTTTTTTTTTAAAATTAACATTCAGCATCGCATTCCAGGAACTGTAATACTTATAGAAAAATACACTCACATTTGCATTCTTCTTTCTTCCTTTGCCAAAACTGTTGTTTTTGGAATGAGCAACTTTTGATCTGAAGCTGGAGACATCATCGTGACTGTCTTTGGTGTTCCACTTTAAGCCTCTCTTCTTTCCTCCAAAACCAAATTTCTCATTTTTGTATTTCCTCTTTGCATTTATTCTGAATTAAAAGTTAACAATTGGCTGTTAATAACAATTTAGTAGGCCCTACCCTAGCTACAAGTTGGATGGCTGCCAGAGAACACCACGCGTACACAGTATTATCCATGGTTAAGTGACTTTCATTTCTGTTTAAACATACCACACAGAACTGAAAAGTCCATGTATAAAGGAAAAAAAAAAAGTTGAGGTCCTTGGGCCCAATAATTTTACACAGGTGTGGCCTCAAGTCTGGTACTAATTCACAAAGAAAGCAATAGTTCTTATGTTAACTGGAGTACAGTTGTGGGTTATTGAATTTAGACCATGCATGCAACTAAAGCCTCCAACAAAAGACACCTTGAACTGCCTACTTTGAAACACAATATTTTATATATGCTGCATCAGTCTAATGCAGGTATTACACACAAGAAACTTAAGGTCACCTACAAAAGTCATACAGTTTCACAGTCTCTGCCCCTTGCATGCAAAATATATGTTTTCCCTCTTCTAAATGGCAGGTTCTTGCATCAATGACTTTTGATTTCCAAAGTTCAGCCAGAAGGTCACAAAACATTTTTAAAAACCTTTTTTAATGGAAAAAAACTTCGGATGTGTACAATCTTTTCAATTATTTAATTGTGTCTAGTCACAAAAAAAAAACTGAAGATAGTGAACTTTTCTATCAAACATAATCCCTTACCCTTGCTTCTTTTGTTTAATTCCAGCCACTGGACCCTTTCCAACGTCTTTCTTTGTTTTTGAAGAAACCTTATCACCCTCAAGGAAATCCAGTTTGTCGGAGAGTCCTGAAGACAGAAAAATACAGAATCGAAAATCTCATTCACCTGTATTTTTACCAATGAGTAAACAAAGAAGCAAAAATTCCTCTGCATATATTGGGTTTGCTCCAACTTCTTGGATTCTGGGGAAACAGGGTTAAAATTACAACAATCTCCAAATTTTCTGGCTCAAGGGACAAACTTCAGAACAAACCTTTTTGGTATTTTTTCACTGCTGTCATCATGGCTTTCTTTTCTTTCTGACGTTGCTGGATAACTTCTACTTGAACCTATGGTCAAAACAATAGTATTGATTTTAACAAGTTTCAAACTATTTTTGCAGAAAGAGCAATGTACTTCTAGATTGAAAATAAAGTGAGTCACGTGATGCTTTGCATGAATGATCTATTCCATTTTTCACGCATATGAAAATTTGTTTCAGTAGAGCTTGAATTCTGAAGCTGTCAAATTTTCTTCAGCTCAAAATTAAATCAAGAAAAGACAAGCTTTTGGTGGTGGTTGGAACAGTAATGCTGCCTTTATATTGCAAACCAGTGCCAAAAGGGCTTTTTCAACATAAGTAGACCAAAGACTCTACTGCCTGAACCACCATTAAATATGACCATGACTAATCTCTTTCACATCTCCATATCCCAATTTGCTTCATGTAGTCCTCTTGTCTAGAAGAAACCAAACAAACAATCCATCCATCACAGCCTTAAATATATTCAACAAAGGAACATATTTAACCCTATGGTGTAGAGAATTCCAAGGATCCACAACCTTCTGACTCAAAAAAGACTTTTCCTAACCTCGTCATAAATGAGCAAACCCCTTATCCCGAGATATTGCTCCCATGTTCCTAAGATTCCCAAGCCAGGGGAAGCAACTTCAGAGTCTAAATTATCAAGTTCTTCACAATTTTACATTTTAATGAAACTACCCTCATTTTACTTAACTCCAAAAAAAGAGGAGGCCTAATTTACTCAGCCTCTCATCCCAGGAACCCACCTAGTGAACCTTTGCTGTTCCTCCATAGCAAATATACTTTCCTTAGATATGGAATCCATAATTGCACATAACACTGCAGGTTTGACCTCACCAAAATCCTGTATAATTGCAGCAAGATTCCTTTATTCTTAGACTTGAATCCCCTTGGAATAAAAGTCGACATGTTCTTTACTTTCCTAATTGCTTGCTGTACCAGCATGTTAACTTTGTGGCCAGATTTCGAAGTTTCATGCCCTTTTAAAATAAGTTCCTCTTTTCTATTCTTACTAAGAAAGTGAATGACCTCTCAGTCCCACATTATACTTCATCTGTCACCTTGTTGATCAATCACTTAACTTGTTTCTATCTCTTTACAACTGAAGTTTCTAGTTTACATGTATTTTTAGAGAAATTATTGAAATAAATAGCCAGGATGTAATTCAGACAGATCTTTTAAACTATTGGAGAGTCTAAAATTGTTGGAAATAGGCAGGTAAGTAGAGATTTATATTGTCAGTAAATCTAGATAATTAATCTTGGACTACTTGACCATGTGATTAATATACATTGTAAATCATTGTGGCCCCAGCATGATCTATCTACTAGTTACACGCCATTATATGGAAATAGTCCCAGTACCCTGATATTCCTGCTTCCTGTCCAAAAACCCATCCTCCATCCACACCAATATATTATCACAACTCCAAAAGTCCTTACCTGCTTAACTATTTTTTGATATATTGAAGAGCTGTAACCATTCATTAAGAACTTAATTTGTATTTGGTTTTAAACATGTGGTTTCCACAGTATCATAACTTGTAATCTGCAATTTTGACACCATTACGTATGTATTAAATTTTGCAGGTTCTATTACCGTCCCTGGTATTTTGTTTCAATATCAAAATGAACACGTTACTTCTCTTTCTATTTGTTTTTCATTTCATTTTTCATTATGACATTAACTGTTGCAACAATTAAGAGATGCTTTCAAAAATAAGCCATGTTCTCAGATAATTGAAATATTTGTATTAAGAATTGTTAACAACATAAATATGAAGAAAGATTCTAACAAAACTCTTGCATGAGGAGTGTCAAAAACAGAAGTTGCTGGAAAAGCTCAGCAAGTCTGGCAGCATCTGTGAAGAAAACAAAACGGAGTCTGAAGGGTCTTAATGTTCTGAATGTAGACATTGTCATGGTTGGGACCAAATTGGGAAGGCCTGAAATGTGGACTGTTGTCCATTGGGGATGATCTGGTTCCGGTTTATTGTGCCTTCCAACTGAAAGCAACAACCGAGTAATTGCAACGAGAAAGTCATTCAATAAATTTACAACACCTGGGAACAATTGTTAAAAATGTATTTGTAGAGAAATTTATTAAAATAAATAGCCAGGATGTAATTTAGACAGATCTTTTAAACTATGAGAGTTTGAAATTATTGGGAAAAGGCAGGAAAGTAGAGTCAACCCCAATATCAGAATAGCTATATCTTTCTGAAAATGATGGAGCAGGCCCTAAAAGACCCTACGGCTTATTCCTGCTCCTACTGATTATCCTTTGTAAATAACCACAATATTTGTTTTGTTCAACAAATAACTAATATGAATTTTCATGTTGCAAACAATACACTACAGTTTGAGGTAATTTGCAATCGAGGAACCTTTGTACTTCAAACATAAGAAAGGTTTATTTGCAGTATTACAAGAACAAACTGAGTAATAAGCCCAAAATTAAGAACACTAACATCCTCAAAATAAGTCAAGGATCATGCATTAACATTTTTCTGAAGATGGAAATCTTACACTATACATGTTCAAATGGACAAAAAAAAATTACCTTTTTGCCATATTTTCGCAATGCTCGAAGCTGTTTAGCCTTTTCAGACTTTTCCATAGAGATCTGCTTTGCTAACATTTTTTCTCGAATCTAGCAAAACAATGAAAAAACCCCCAGAATCTTATTACAGCTATTGGAAATATCTCAAAGTGCTTGACATGTAGTAAACAGTTTGAATGTGCCCTCATGGTATGTAGGCAATCTATACTCCAAAACAACATCTGAGTAGCCAGTTAATTTGTTTTCAGTTACATTTTTAGGGAAGAATGTTGATCAAAACACTTGGAAAGTTGCAAACATTTTTTCCCCCAAATAGTTATCGGATATAGAATATCAATCTGGTCTGTAGTTTAATATCACTTAAACTACAGACCAGATTGTTAGGTTTTCAGCTTTTTACCTTGAAAGGATAAACATCTGTGAACATATTAACATATTGAAATCCCAAATTAAATTAGATACGTAAGATCCAGAGTGGGACTTCAACCTATAATTCTGATTCAGTCGTGAAACGGAAAATCAGTTGATCAAAGAACACAAGATTCTCCACCTACAACGTGTATCCAAGGACCTTCAAAAATTATTCAATGAACCAGGATCAAGAAAGTGTCCACTTGTCATGAAATACAAATAAAAATCCCGCCCACCCACTTCCAAGCAGCTACCGGCACCAATATTATTTCCTTATGGTTAGAATGGTAAATTGATCTACCAAATGGATAGATTTCAAATATTGTGTGGTTAAAAACACCACAAAGCTCATTGGAGGATTAATTATTAAAACATTCTCTATCACTTTTCTTTTTCCATGTCTAAAACTTCAGGTCCAAGTGTTTGCTTTGAAACAAAATTGGAGATTTACATCAAGCACTTACTAAGAAATTGCACAATAGTTTTCTATGTTCACTCTATGTTTAGTTGAAGCTATTGCTGCTATATTTAATGACAGACTGGTAGCCACCCACCTTCTGCATTTGCTGATCTGATTTGGCCATCTCAGCAAAGTAGTCGTCTGGTCTTTTTGTTGTAATTTTGTGTTGGTTTAGCTGAGGCAATGCATCTAAAACTGTTGCCTGTGCCTGGCGATAACTGAACATGAAAGGAAATTATTATTACAGAAAATCAAAGACATTGTAGTTTCAGCTTGGAAGCTGCTGCTGCACTGGAAATAGAAGAATATCTACTTTGAAATGGTTGTAATTCATCTCAAGACACGACATGTTAGGACACACAGATCTTGAAATTTAATTCTAAATTGATGTTAAAAATTAACTGGTTTTGAAAGAGAGCAAGAAGCCTAGGTGCCAGCAAGGTAACCCATTTATATACTATTTATCTTCCCTAACCAATCCTCCATTGTTCCTTAAAATAACATCGGAATTTAACTGCACATCTTCCATACCACAATGTAATGCTCCATAGCCTCCTTTGGAAATAATCTGGATTAAAGCCAATGGTGGTATACCTTATTGAATAGAATTAATCATCAAGTGAGCCTCGAGCTAACCAGAACATCTGTTCCATCTGGATAAATGGGACTCAGAGGGCCAAAACTAAACAAATAGCTTCATTGTAAGGCACCTTTCTGCCAATGAAGGCTTTGGTCATGTGAACAATAGAATCTTTCCACTCACAAAAGCATTGTGAACTGTATATGTACACTTTTTTGTCAAGCCATTGTATATGCAAACGATAGTAGTTCTTTGAGATAGGTAACATGTACAGAAAACATTTTATTTCTCCAGAAATTCAATATGATGGAATAAGAAATAAGAAAAATAGAAAACACTTGAAGTCATGTAGCAGCTGTCAATGACCTCAGGGCATTACAGTCAACTGACACATTTAATCTTTTAATTTAGGAAATGAGACAGCAGGTGAATCCCCTATCCCCCAAAAGTTCCTGTAAAAATTTGCTCACAGGGCGTTGGTGAAGGGTTGTTAAACAGAAGGAAATAATGAACTTAACCGCAACAAACATGAAAGAGAAAAAGAAAGCTGTGTTTGGAGGTACCAGCAAGAGTCACTGGGGAGCAGATGCTAGAGGCCAAGAAGTGAGTGGAGCTAGGAACAGAGTTCCATGGCCAGGATGTGGTGCTGCGAACACAAGGGGCTTACAATTAGAAGATGTCTTGCAGAGGCCGCACTGGAGAGCAAAGACCATGAGTGACCTTTTTCGCCAAAGGTGGGATAGCGAGCTGGCAGCATCCATTTTGCCAAGGTGCCCTTCTTCTCACTAGTTCAGGGGAGTAAAGGGTAGAAGAGGGAGATGCTGCAAATGACAGAGGCATGCAGAGAGCTGAAGGATTTGGATGGGGAGGTGAAGAGAGAGGGAAGCTCAATTGTCGGGGAAAGAGATGGAGCAGCAGGAAGAGGGAGGCAGCAAAGAAGAGAGAACAGGTGCAATTCCATCAAAGAAGTACTCATAACTAGGAACTAATCTTGAAATAACTGCAGTAGCATATTACTTGCAAATAAATATGATATCTCTAATTTAAAACTGCAAGTGTTCAGGAGCTACTCTATGGAGGAAGAAAAGTGCAGTGGACGCTATTGTAACGAACACTGCCAATTGTCACAATTTAAATAGGAGATGCAGTAAAAAGGATAGTAACTGCCTAATTAAAAATATTCCAACTCTGAAAATGTCATAGAAATGTGTTGGTGTGACCTTACCAATCTGGAAGGTGTGTTTTTAAATACTGTGTAGAAGTGCATGTTATTTTGAAAAATAAATTTGTGCTGCTAATTTATGCCTGTCATCTTGTGCCAATTTAAATACTGTGGTGTTTTTGAACTCAATACTCTCGTCTGTGAAAATGGATGGTTGATATTGAGGAATTCTGCTTGTGTAAATCCAAATGCTCCACACATCAACTTGAATGGAGAAGATATTGTTTGTAAATAACTGTATCACCCAATAAAAGGAGATAGTGAGAATAAAAAAAGTAGTCCTCTAAAAAATCAAAAGCAAGTCCTGAACATCAAAGAGAAGCCCTCAGTTTAAAACAGTGTGCCCTGCAGAAAATACAGCTGCAAATTTGTACACAGTAAACTCCCACAAACAATAATGCAATGACGATTGGATAATTTTTAAAATAAATTTAAATGAGCGCTAAATTCCATTGCTATTCCGGAATCCTTTACCTCAATGTGGATCTGGCCTCGGTTTACACTGAAAATAAAAACAGCTAGCCTCTGATAGTGCAGCACTCCCTCAATACTGCAGCGGACTATTGGCCTAGATTTTTGTTCTCAAGTCTCTGGAGAAGGACTTGGAATTACCAATCTTCTGATTCAGAGGTGAAAGCTTGACCAGCTGAATGACGACTCGTACAATCCCAAATTACACCATTCAGCAAGAGGTACTTTATGCCCACAAAGGTAACATTTGGAGTTTAAAGGAAACTAATTTGCAAGCTCGGGTTAATATGCCCAAATTACTGCAATAAAGCTACAATGAAGAGTGAACACATCCTTGTTTAAAACTCTTGTATTAAAGTCAAAAAAGAAATTGTAAGCTAAAAAAGCTGGTCAAAATTGTACACTTCTTGCCTTTACTATTTATTTTAAATGCTCTGTAAGCTAAGCTTCTTGCAGATACATACATATCCTTAAAAGGTGTAAGTTATCTGTTAAAACTTGTACCTACAAATACATCTCACGTTGAAAGTCATCATCTGGATCGATATCTGAACGTTCCTGTGCTACCGACTTCCCTTCCGTCAATGCTATGATGTCAGCAGCTGGGCCATTTGTCATGTCAAGCCTCTCCACCCACTCCATGTTTTTCTTGAATTCTTCCAAACGTTGTTCCAAACCCACCTGAAGTTTAATAGAAAAAGTATTACAACAGTATTTCAAGGACACATTAACCAGCTTCAAATAGAAAGGGAAGACTCTAACACTTCAGATCAGGGTGTATTAACCACAGTTAGAAAGGCAATGTCCTCCAATATATAATATGGCATCAAATTCAATTTTGTTAGAATTGCACCAAATTTTAACTCCATAAAATGCAGTATCTGAAAGTTAAGTTAACCATTCTTTTTTATGAATTAATTTTTACATTGACAGAAATATTCCTGAGTATTATCATTTCATAACCTTGGAACAACCAATGAGAAAGCATATACTGGTTGCCAGTTTCTGTTTGGAAGTTAGAAAAAAGGAGGCAGGAGAGGTGACTGATTGAGGGAAAAAGAAAACTTAACAGCAGCTTCACTTTCTCATTTTTCAGCAAACTATTTCAAACGCTTGTGTACAATACATTACTTGCTGCAAAATCAATCCAGTTCAATAGGGAAGGAGTAAAACTTGTGCCGACTGGGACAATGTTTGACAGTTCGATGCTCTTTTTAGCAGAATAATTTGTAAATACTCAAAGACCTAGTTATAATAATAAGTTTAAGACACATTGGTCGAGGCAATGGCTTAATGGTATTGTCACTAAACTAGTAATACAGAGATCCAGATAATGTTTTGGGTAGTCCAGATTGAATGCCACCACAGTAGATGGTAGAATCTGAATTCAATGAAAATCTGGAATTGAAAGCCGAGTTCAAACCATGATGATGACCACTGTCAATGGTCATAAAAACCTATCCAGTTCACTGATGTACTTTCATGAAGGAAACTGCGATTCATACTTGGTCTACATGCGACTCGATAGATTCACAACAACATGGTTGACCCTTAACTGCCCACTGAAATAGTCTAGCAAGCTTCTCAGTTCACTACCCTCGAGGGCAACTAGGGATGGGCAAAACACGATCCAGTCAGTGACATGTGTATCCCATGAATGAATTAGAAAAAAAAACTTAAGTTCCTTTGGACTCAAATAACTAAATTTCGATCAAGGAAACCAAGACTGCACATTCAATCAAATGCTTCAAAAAACTAAAATGGAATAAGGACTGAACTACAGCTTCTGAAGCTTCCACTTCAAAATTTACAAAATTCATTGCTCCAACACAAATGGACATTTAAGGCTTGGTGGATATTGACTGAATCAGTTTTGCACCGAGTTGTGCAACATCTCTGTGTTAGCAATCTCTGGCAGAAGTTTCAACTAGATTGGGGTAAATACTGTTGACCAACAGATATTCAGTCTTCTCCAGTATACTTCAATCATAACTGAGAGATTAAAGTAAAATTAAAAAAAAAGAAAAGAATTCTCACCACATCGTTGACATATTGTTTCTCTGCTTCCTCCACTACATTCAACCCAGGTTTGAGTAAACCTTTTGAAAATGCATCCTGAAGCTGTAATAAAATGAAAAATTAAATGTAACTGGTTAAAGAAAAGCCTGAGTGCTTTACATTAGAAGCCATTAAATATTACTGAATGATATAGGACCAAGATCTGCTGAGTGACAAAGTTTCTTGACTTGTGATTTGTTTCCATTCTTCCGCATCTGATTTACTCAGCAAATGTGCACTCAGAAACTCAAAGTGTGGAGCCTAGACATCATCTAAAACTTGCACAAAAAGTTTTTGAATTAGGCCAATGCCATATTTGGTTGTTCCTTTTTAAGAGTAAAGCTAAAAACTTACATAGCTGTGAAGATTAAACCATTTATGTAGTTCCAAATTATACATTGATAAGTAATTTGAAATTACTTATGTAGCTCACTTCTGTCAATTACTAATATTTGGATGTTTCTTTTTGCTATTACACGTTGCTCACACAGAGCTCCAAAATATTAACAAAAAGTGAAATACTGCAGATTCTGGAAATCTGAAATAAATCAGAAAATGTTGGAATAACTCAAATGGTTTAGTAACATCTGTGAAGAGAGAAACAGAGTTGACATTTCGGATCAATGACACCGCAGTTCTAATGATTAAAGTATTGACTGTTTCTTTCTACACAAATACCATCAGATGTGATTACTTCTAGCATCTTGTACTCCCCACCACCACCCCCACACCAAAGAAAATAACCATTCAGTCCAGAAAATAAAGCAGACACACAATACAAGTTCAAAAAAATAAAGCACAAGTACTAGATTAAATCAATAGTGAAGAATTTGCAACAATAATACTTCATTTACTCAAGTTTGCTACAATTTAACATCCCCCTCCTTGGGGTTGAAATGCAACTATGATCTGAACTGATCCTATCCAGGAAACTGCCCGAAACAGTTTCTCTGCTTGATCTGTTACCTAGGAACCTGGGATCTATCTTTGACTGCCTTAATTCTCAACCACTTCCAACACAAAACTGGGTGGGAGAAAGATTTCTGAGGGTAGGAATGCAAGAAGCTTCAAGCTAATTTAAACTAGTTGAGTAAGCTGGCAAACACATGGTCACATTATACTGTATGCATCTGCCTAAATTTGTAGCTATACTCTTTGGTACAGAACAAAAAAAAAAATCACAAAAAGCTTTATTTAAAATGGTGATAAATTAGGAAATTTGGATGTGCAGAGAGATCTGGGTGTCCTTGTAAAATCAATTAAAATTGACAGCTAGGTGCAGCAAGCAATTAGGAAGGTAGATGGTGTATTGGCCTTCATTTCAAGAGGATTTGAGTTCAGAAGCTGGGGAGGATATCTTACTGCAAGGCCCTGGTGAAACTGCACGTGGAGTACTACATGCAGTTTTGGTCTCCCTACCTAAGGAAAGATATACTTGCCAAAGAGGGATTGCAGTGGAGATTTACGAGGCTAATACTGATGATGGCAACACTGTTCTATATGGAGAGTTTGGTTCTACTGGTCCTGTATTCACCACAGTTTAAGAGGACGAGAGGAAATCTGATTGAATTGTACAAAATTCTAGTCAAGAGGAAGAAGGAAGCTTACTTAAGGTTGAGGAAGCAAGGATTGGACAGTGCTCTAGAGGGCTACAAGGTGGCCAGGAAGAAACTGAAGAATGGACTTAGAGAGCTAGAAGGGAGTATGAAAAAGCCTTGGTGGGTAGGATTAAGGAAAACCCCAAGGCGTTCTTTACTTATGCGAGTAACAAGAGGATGGCCAGAGTAGGGCCGATCAGGGATAGTGGAGGGAACTTGGGCGCGGAGCCAGAGGAGGTAGGGGAGGTTCTGAATGAATACTTTGCTTCAGTATTCACCAGTGAGAGGGACCTTGACATTTGTGAGGACAGCGTGAAACAGGCTGATATGCTCGAACAGGTTGATGTTAGGAAGGAGGATGTGCTAGAAATTTTGAAAAACACGAGGATAAGCAAGTCCCCTGGGCCAGATGGGATATACCCAAGGTTACTACGGGAAGCATGGGAAGAGATTGCTGCACCTTTGGCAATGATCTCTGCATACTCACTGTCCACTAGAGTAGTACCAGATGACTGGAGGGTGGCAAATGTTATTCCATTGTTCAAAAAAGGGAATAGGGATAATCCTGGGAATTACAGGCCAGTCAGTCTTACTCCTGTGGTGGACAAATTATTGGAGAGGATTTAATGATTACTTGCGAAAGCACAGTTTGATTAGAAATAGTCAACACGGCTTTGTGAGGGGCAAGTCATGCCTCACCAGCCTTACTGAATTCTTTGAGGATGTTGCAAAACACATTGATGAAGGTCGAGCAGTGGATGTGGTGTATATGGATTTTAGCAAAGCATTTGATAAGGTTCCCCATGGTAGGCTCATACAGAAAGTAAGGAGGCATGGAATTCAGGGAAATTTGGCTGTCTGGATACAGAATTGGCTGCCCAATAGAAGACAGAGGGTGGTAGTAGATAGAAAGTATTCAGCCTGGAGCTCGGTGACCAGCGGTGTTCCACAGTAATCTGTTCTGGGACCTCTACTCTTTGTGATCTTTATAGATGACTTGGATGAGGAAGTGGAAGGGTGGGTTAGTAAGTTTGCCGATGACACGAAGGTTGGTGGAGTAGTGGATAGTGTGGAGGGCTGCTGTAGGTTGCAATGGGACATTGACAGGATGCAGAGCTGAGCAAAGAAGTGACAGGTGGAAGTGAAGCTGGAAAAGTGTGAAGTGATTCATTTTGGAAGGTTGAATTTGAATGCAGAATATAGGTTAATGGCAGAATTCTTGGCAGTGTGGCGGAACAGAGGGATCTTGGGGTCCATGTTCATAGATCCCTCAAAATTGCTACCCAAGATGATAGGGTTGTTAAGAAGCCGCATGGTACGTTGGCTTTCATTGGCAGGGGAATTAAGTTTAACAGCCATGAAGTTATGCTGCAGCTCTATAAAACCCTGGTTAGACCACAGTTGGAATATCGTGTTCGGGTCTGGTAGCCTCATCGTAGGAAGAATGTAGAAGTTTTAGACAGGGTGCAGAGGAGATTTACCAGAATGCTGCCTGGACTGGAAGGCAGGTTTTATGAGGAAAGGTTGAGGGAGCTAGGACTTTTCTCATTGAAACGAGGAAGGATGAGAGGTGACTTGATAGAGGTGTACACGATGACAAAAGGCATAGGTAAAGTGGATAGCCAGAGACTTTTGCCCAGGGCGGAAATGACTATTACGGGGCATAATTTTAAGGTGATTAGAGGAAGGTATAGGGGAGATGTCAGAGGTAGGTTCTTTACACAGAGAGTGATGGGTGCGTGGAATGCACTGCCGGCGGTGATAGTGGAGTCAGATACATTCGGGACATTCAAGCAACTCTTGGATAGGCACATGGATGATAATAAAATGTAGGGCATGATCTTAGAGTAGGATAATAGGTTGGCACAACATCATGGGCCGAAGGGCCTGTACTGTGCTGTACTGTTCTATGTTCTTAACATGGCTGGGCAGTCTGGATGCAGTTTTCCCTGGATGGGGAGTCTTGAACAAGGGATACAGTCTCAGGATATAGGGTAGACCAACTAAGACTGAGATGAGGAAGCATTTCTTAAAAGTGTAGCGAAGCTGTGAAATTCTCTACCACAAAACACTGTGGAAGCCAGGTCACAAAATATATTCAAGAAAAAGACAGATAAATATTCAGATTTTAAAGGCGTGAAGAGATATGGGAGAAAGTGGGAATATTGCATTGGGATTAAGGATCAGTCGTGATCACACTGAATAATGGGAGCAGGTTCAAAGGGATTAATAGCTTCCTCCTGCTTCTCATTTCTATATTTCTTTATACTGCCCCCAAGCAAAATATTTTGAAAACAGTACAGTATTAGCTTTTATACGTGGGCTGACAACACCCAGTTCTACCTCATTACCACCTCCATTGTTTCACCCACAACAACTAAATTTTCAGACCATTTCGTTGACATTCTGTATTAAGATGAGCAAATATTTCCTCCAATTTACTATTGTGAAGAGCAAAACACCTGTCATCAGTCTCCACTCCAAACAGTTGTCTGGCTACCAACTCTACCCCTTTCCCTATAATTGTCTAAGGCTGAATCAGACTGTTCACTACTTTGATGTTAGATTTGATTCTGAGAGGAGTTTCTGACCACACATCTGCAGTAGAACTAAAAATGCCCATTTCCAACTCTGTAACATTGCTCGACTTTGGGCAGCACAGGTCATTTGCTGCTGCCTTAATTATCAGTAGTCTGAGCTACTTTCATACTCCTGATCAGTCTGCTGCATTCTATCCTCTGTAAACTTTAATTAATTCAAACCTCTGCTGCTAACTCATGCCAATGCCATTCATCTATCACCTCTATGATTGATAGAAAATGCTCAAAATCTAAAATTTTCTTCTTTACTTCAAATGGCTCAATGGCTTCAACTGTCCGCCTCTCTATTTTCTCAAGCTCCACAACCCTCAGATATCTGCTCTCCTGCAATTCTGGCCACTTGAGCTTCCTTGGTTTGAAACGCTCCATCGTTGGTGACAGTACCTTTAGCTGACTAGGCCCTTAGCTTTGGAATTCTTTTACTAAATCTCTCCACCTACCTTTCCTCCTTTTAGTCACTCCTTAAAACCCATCTCCTTGACCAAGATTTTGCTTATCTGCCCTAACAGCTCTGCACAAGGCTCGGTCTGAAAAACCGCTTTATAACTCTAACTTCAGACCATTTTATTATGTTGAAGGTGCTGTATAAATCCAAACTGTTGTTGATTGGGTATTCAATATTCAAAGATATTCAACATTCTGGATAAAAAGATAAAGGAAGGGGACAGCACTGTTAACAAAGGAAGGTATGGTGTTGTGTAGTTATATCAGTGTGATAGATTGTGATGTGGAATCCATTTGAGTGGAAATAAGGAATAGCAAGGGAATGAAGTCATGGGTGGGAGTCAACTGTAAAGCCCAACAAAATTACCTCATTGTTGTATACAAAGTTGAGTGTTGTGTTTAGTTCTAGGCACCTTATTTA